TTTTATTTTTTGTTTATTTTTACAAAATTGGTCAATGGAAAATGTCATAAAGCCATGTCTGACCTTAGGTCCCTGGTTGGGACCCAGTTGGAAATGTGTATACAAAAGAAATTATAGGAAATTATAATAATAATGATGGGCTATTTTAGAGACAAAAGAAAGTATAGAATAGGAAGTTTGCTTATTGTTTACTGGACGCGCGATCCTGGAAGAAGCCAGTGGCTTGAAGAAAACATTTGACTAAATTACTAAAATTATGATGCAATCTCGTGACAATATTTTGACAATTATAGCTTACTAATGATAAATCCATAACTGAACTATTGTGAGAATATTTTGGCAATTACAGCTTACTAATGATAAGTCCGTAACTGAACTATTGTGACAATATTTTGGCAATTATAGCTTACTAATGATAAGTCCATAACTGAACTATTGTGAAAATATTTTGGCAATTATAGCTTACTAATGATAAGTCCATAACTGAACTATTGTGAGAATATTTTGGCAATTACAGCTTACTAATGATAAGTCCGTAACTGAACTATTGTGAGAATATTTTGGCAATTATAGCTTACTAATGATAAGTCCATAACTGAACTATTGTGAAAATATTTTGGCAATTATAGCTTACTAATGATAAATCCATAACTGAACTATTGTGAGAATATTTTGGCAATTACAGCTTACTAATGATAAGTCCGTAACTGAACTATTGTGACAATATTTTGGCAATTATAGCTTACTAATGATAAGTCCATAACTGAACTATTGTGAAAATATTTTGGCAATTATAGCTTACTAATGATAAATCCATAACTGAACTATTGTGAGAATATTTTGGCAATTACAGCTTACTAATGATAAATCCATAACTGAACTATTGTGAGAATATTTTGGCAATTATAGCTTACTAATGATAAATCCATAACTGAACTATTGTGAGAATATTTTGGCAATTACAGCTTACTAATGATAAATCCATAACTGAACTATTGTGAGAATATTTTGGCAATTACAGCTTACTAATGATAAATCCATAACTGAACTATTGTGAGAATATTTTGGCAATTACAGCTTACTAATGATAAATCCATAACTGAACTATTGTGAGAATATTTTGGCAATTATAGCTTACTAATGATAAGTCCATAACTGAACTATTGTGAAAATATTTTGGCAATTATAGCTTACTAATGATAAGTCCATAACTGAACTATTGTTACTACGTTGTCTCGCGTTAATTGTGATTAGTTTAAACATCTTAGGTTGGCCAGAGAGTCCTGTCTTCTTTAGGAAGAGTAAAGAAAACAATAACATTTTATAGAGTAATACCAATATTTATTCTTCAGAATAAAAGTCCATCATTTCCGACGATCTTCCGACAGCGATCAGCCCGCATCCGAATCTATCCCAGATACCAGTTCCCGTCCTGGGTATGACAATAAACTACATCCGCGTCCTGGGTAAGACAATAAACTACGTCCAACAGCAAGGCAAATGATCAGAAGGTTTTGACGAGCGTGAAACCAGCTCATAATTGCTGGGGTTCCCAGATCCACCCTGACCCGGGGTGGTAGCACCTGTTAGGGCCCCAGCTATGGGCAAATAGTTAAACCCCAAACTGGGGTCAAAACACTATGAAAGTGTAAAAATAGATTTTAATACCAGAAATAATTTTTGTAAAAAAATTATCGCCAGCAATACATTTTTGTTGAAAAAATATTACCAAAAATAGATTTATGAAGAAAAAAAAATATTACCAGCAACAAAAATTTTGTCGGCATTAAATAACCCATTGAGGTTGATATGCCGTAAACCAAACTATCGCTATGAATCTATTTCAAAATTTTGTTGGCATTAAAATAATCCACTGACGTTGATATGCCATAAAACAAAACAAACAACCAGATACCAGTCCGCTGGCATTGACTAATAAATAAAAAAAAAAAAGCTGTAAACAAGCTTTCTTCATTTCATGAAAAGTGCTGAATCGCTAGTTGGGGAGAAAGTGTGTCATTGTGCGAAATAGGCTGTCGTCACTCAGAGCCTGCATCGGGACTGAATGGTCTTCATCTCAACACCGTCCATCTGTTTGAAATTCTCCTGAGTTAACCTGGCAGCATTGTTTTGCTGAAACAAAGCCCGATTAACCAAAGCAGGATACTCTTTCTTTAGTTTGTCGTACACGCTGTCTAGCTGCTAGCAATACAGTTTAGCCTTCAAGGCGCGTCGTGTGGAAAAACCTCCAAATGCAGTACACCTTGGAAATTCCACCATGACCTTATTATCAAATCTTTCCATAATATATTCCGTTGAACAGTATGTCCTGGTTCATTTAGAAAGATGAAAGAAAACAACAAAATTTAATTCGCAACACCAATATTTATTCTTCAAAATAAAATCCATCATTCTTGACGATCTTCAGCCAGTGATCAGCCAGCATCCGAATCTATCCTAGATTCCAGTCCGCAGCCTTTGATTAAAAAAAACTGTAAACAAGCTTCCTTCACTTCATCAAAAGTGTTGAATCGCTGATTGTGGAGGAAATGTGCCATTGAGCGTAATAGGCTCTAGTCACTCGAACCTGCATCGGGATTGAATGGTGGATGTGGAAAAATCTCAACATCGTCCATCTGTTTGAATTTCTCCTTACTCAACTTAGCAAGGTGTGAACTCGCATTGCCTTGCTGAAACGAAGCCAGACCCCGATTGACCAAAGCAGGATACCCCTTCTTTAGTTTGTCGTACACGCGGTCTAGCTGCTGGCAATACAGTTTAACGTTGATGGCGCGACCGTGTGAAACAAGCTAGAAATGCAGTACTTCTTCGAAATTCCAGACAGAGATCAAGTTTTGTTGCTTGCTTTCCGCTTAATAAGTGATTCAGGACTTTCATAATTGATCAAACACTATAATATGCAAAGTTCAGTCCGTCAATAAATTGTCATACATGATACACGCTTGGGCGATCATGTCTCTTTCGATTCATGACTGACTAGGCAGAGTATTTTCTCTCGGTGGGCTGCCGTTTCTTTCTGCGGTAGACTGGTTGCCAACCAAGGCTATAGGACCCAAAGATCAGTCAGTCAGTTAAATGGCATACGTGATACACGTTTAGGAGATCATGTCTCTTTAGATTCATGACTGACTAGGCAAAATGTTTTACGCAGCATGTTGACATTTCTTTCTACAGTACACTGATTGCCACCCAAGGCTATAGGACCCAATCAGTCAGTGCCATACGTGAAACACGCTTGGGCGATCATGTCTCTTTCGATTCATGACTGACTAAACAAAAGGATTTTCCCTTAGAAGGTTGGCGTTTCTTTCTGCAGTAGACTGATTGCCAACCAAGGCTATAGGACCCAGGGATCAGTCATTCAGTTAAATGCCATACGTGATACACGCTTGGGCGATCATGTCTCTTTCGATACATGACTGACTAGGCAGGACTTTCCCCCAGCAGGTTGCCATTTCTTTTAGCGGTAGACCCGGTTTCAATCTATAGCTGGGAAGAGAAGAGATATATTCATACCTTTCTCAAGATTTATCTTGACCCTCCTCAGACTGAGTCTGGTTGTGACACAAGGTCGGTTTTTAACGTGGGGACTCGAGTGTTTCCACTCGGGCTGCTGGTCTAAACTGGTCGAAGCTAATCATAGCCGGTCATACTACCGGTACGTAACAGATGTTACCCCAGAGTTCGTCGGGATCACAAGGGAGGAGAGAAGGCCTACGGCACGGAACAGATACTACAACCGCGACATCTACTCCGACGGGACGAAAAAACCCTTCCATGCCAATCTATACGGAAGAATCCGGGGTAAGGGAGAGCCTCATCCTAAAGGAGTGCCCCCAGATTCTTACCGTTCCCAAAGATATTACAATGCGTAAATGAATGCAGCGAACTCGATTGGAATTCGAACTCGGCTCTCAGATCTCTCATTCCGTGCTGATGTCCATTACACGCCAACGCGCATCCACACAAGGTTACTTTATTCAAATTCTTACGTTTTCTTTGAATTCAATCTTGTCACTTTAATTATCGAAACTAGACGTTAGTTTATCAGTTCTATTTACTCAAATGTTTTATACAGCTATCGTTGAATAAAACCTTTATTCAACTATTTTGATCTTCAACTAATCTCAAATATTGACTTGAATAAAACAGTTGTTTAAATGAAATAAACCTAACTGACTAAAATAGTGATGAAATCTAATCACAATATATCCACAAGTACACCACAGGCCTCATTAAAGAGTCCGATCATCATCTTCTTACTGTATCCACCGTTAATTGTAATTAGGTTGAATATTAATTGACTATTGAGGTTGAATCTAGCGCAATAATAAGCAAAGTTGCTTTATTCAAATTATTAGTTGTTATTCTTATGTTTTCTTTGAATTCAATCCTCGCCATTGTAATTATCGACATTGGACGTTAGTCTATCAATTCTATTTTAAAAACTTTATTCAACTATTTTGATCTTCAACTAATCCAGAATTATAACTTATTCGAACATATTTTTTAAACACCTGTCCCAATTAATTGAAGAAGTACTATATTGGAAACTTGTCACAATATTTTGACAAGAACGCCTCAGAACAATCGGATTACTTTAATTGAACTATTGTTCCTAATTTACCTACCGTTAATTGTAATTAACCTGAATATTAATTAATTGTTTACTGAAGGCGGATCGAGCACAATAACAGGCGAAGTTATCTTATTTTAAATTATTAGTTTGTAGTCATTCTTTGTCACCGTAATTGTCAGCAATACACCTGCATTTATCAATTCCATTTTGTCAATTGTTTTCTTCAAGTGGGCCCAGGTTCAAGGTAGTCGAGGCCAAAATACTGTTACCCTATTTTGAAACCTTGATCGAGACCAATCATTGCAACACATAAAAATGATATAAAAAAAAGGTAGGTAGGAGGAAATAAGAAAGGGAATCCTAAAAAAATGGTGGGGAGGAGGAGAAAAGAAAAGAAGTCTTAAAAAGGGTGGGGAAGAGGAGAAAAGAAAGGGAGTCTTAAAAAGGATGGGGAGGAGGAGAAAGGAAAAGAAGTTTTAAAAAGGAAGGGGAGGAGGAAAAAGGAAAAGAAGTTTAAAAAAGGGTGGGGAGGTGGAGAAAAGAAAGGGAGTCTTAAAAAGGATGGGGAGGAGGAGAAAGGAAAAGAAGTTTTAAAAAAGAAGGGGAGGAGGAAAAAGGAAAAGAAGTTTAAAAAAGGGTGGGGAGGTGGAGAAAAGAAAGGGAGTCTTAAAAAGGTGCGGAAGAGGAGAAAAGAAAGGGAGTCTTAAAAAAGGTGGGGAGGGGGAGAAAGGAAAGAAAGTCTTAAAAAGGATGGGGAGGAGGAGAAAAGAAGAGAAGTCTTAAAAAGGATGGGGAGGAGAAAAGAAAGGAAGTCTTAAAAAGGTGGGGCGGAGGAGAAAGGAAAGAAACTCTTAAAAAGGATGGGGAGGAGGAGAAAGGAAAAGAAGTCTTAAAAAGGATGGGGAGGAGGAGAAAGGAAAAGAAGTCTTAAAAAGGATGGGGAGGAGGAGAAAGGAAAAGAAGACTTAAAAAAGGATGGGGAGGTGGAAAAAGGAAAAGTAGTCTTAAAACGGTGCGGAGGAGGAGAAAAGAAAGGGAGTCTTAAAAAGGATGGGGAGGAGGAAAAAGGAAAAGAAGTCTTAAAAAGGATGGGGATGACGAAAAAGGAAAATAAGTCTTAAAAAGGGTGGGGAGGAGGAGAAAAGAAAGGGAGTCTTAAAAAGGTTGGGGAGGAGGAGAAAGAAAAAGAAAGTCTTAAAAAGGGTGCGGAGGCGGAGAAAAGAAAGGGAGTCTAAAATATGGTGGGTAGGAGGATTAAAGAAAGGAAATCCTAAAAAAGGTGGGGAGGAGGAGAAAAGAAAAGTAGTCTTAAAAAGGGTGAAGAAGAAGAGAAGAAATCCTAAAGATGGTGGGGAGGAGGAGAAAGGTGAAAAATTCTTAAAAATCGTGGGGAGGAGGAGAATAGAAAGGGAGTCTTAAAAATGTCAGGAAGAGGAGAAAGAAAAGGAAGACTTAAAAGATTGGGGAGGAGGAGTAAAGAAGGAGATTTTTCAAAACGTAGAGAGTAGGAGAAAAGAAAGGAAGTCTTAAAAATGGTGGGGTGGAGGAGAAAAGAAATAAGTCTTAAAAATGGTGGGTAGGAGGAGAAAAGAAATAAGTCTTAAAAAGGGTGGGTAGGAGGAGAAAAGAAAGGAAGTCTTAAAAAGTGTGGGGAGGAGGAGAAAAGAAAGGAAATCCTATAAAAGGTGGGGAGCACACACAAACTTACTTACGAATATACATTATCATCTGAACATTATATATAGACAAACTATTATACACTTACATACATCAAGCAATATTTACGGTTTTTCAGTTAGGCTTGTAGTCCGTTAATTTAGTAGTGGGTGCCAAGAAGCTTGCTCAAGCCTTTGTTCTTGGACCTCTGGATCCTATTTCCTGTCTTAGCCAGGAGTGTCTAAGTCTCGCGGAGTAGGACGGTACTTAAGCCGAATGGTAGTTTTAGTCATTGTTTTATTTATCGTTTGTGCTAAAAAATAAATATATTTTTTGACGAATAATAAAGATAACCCTGCTGAAAAGTTTTCGACCCCACCTCTTTCCTAAAGAGAGTATTATGATAGTTGGTCATTAAATTACTGATTTTCGGGATAGGGTGCGTACTAAGGTCTTTTCAGCAAAACCCTAGAAGAGCAAAAAATTGTAACGCTTAATGGTTATTAATGGTATGGTTATTGCTTAATGGTAATGCTTAATAGTTATTAATGGTATGGTTATTGCTTAATGGTAATGCTTAATGGTTATTAATGGTATGGTTATTGCTTAATGGTAATGCTTAATGTTTATTAATGGCATGGTTATTGCTTAATGTTAATGCTTAATGGTTAGTAATGGTATGGTTATTGCTTAATGGTATGGTTATTAATGGTATGGTTATTGATTAACGGTAACTCTTAATGGTTATTGAAAATAGGAAAAAACACGTAATATTAAGGCTTAGTTTGGTTTATTTTATTTTACGGCATAATTTTATAACTCTAAATGGGTTATTTAATGCCAACAATATTTTTATTGCTGGTAATATTTTGTTTCGTCAAAAATCTGTTTCTGGTAATAATTTTCTTCAAAATTGTATTGCTGGTAATATTTTTTCAAAAACGTATTGCTGGTAATAGTTAACTATTTGCCCATAGCTGAGACCCTATCAGGTACTACCATCCTGAGTCAGTGTGGACCTGGGAACACCAGCAATTAAGAGGAGGTTCCACGCTTCTCAAAACCTCCTGATCAGAGGCCTAGCTGCTGGATGTAGTTTATCGTCTTGTCCAGGATGCGGGTGTAGTTTAACGTCTTACCCTGTACGACCGTAATATTAAGGTTTAGCAACTAGTCCTTTAAACTCCAAGCATATTTTAGGCCTACGATGTGAAAACTGCGTGCAGGTCTATGAAAATGGTCTCCTCGTATGCGGTCCGATCGAAACTCGGAAAACAAATTATCTAAAGGAAAAAGAAATTTAGAATATTCTGATATCTGTTATATGTGAAGGTGATTTTTTTTTTTTTTGTTATTACTGAACAGAAAGAGGTTCCGAATTTTCTAAGTGCTAGGAATTTGTGCTTATAAATTTTTCTGCGATCCCGACCTGGTCAGAAAGGAAGTTATGTTCTGTCATCACCGAGCGGCCGCTGAATTTTCATCTATCGCGATGAACGGCTCAGGGAGGCCCAGTGTCTTTAGCGCCTATTGGGATTTAAATTCAACCGAAATCTCAAGCGGAACTCGTATATACAATCCGTCACTAAAGATAATGGCCGGTTCTCTCTACTGCTCCAGTAAATACGTCATGCCTCCTGCTCTCCTCTACCGTTACATGAGCCAGATCAGACCGAAATGGTGTACAGGGAGTCCTCGACTTTCGTCGGAGATTCGTTCCTACGACGCGACGTAACCTGATTTTCGACGTAGGTCGGAACTCACCTACATAAGCAGGCACGAGCCATAAGAAGGGCCAAAAAATCTCCCCCCCCAAAAAAAAACTGCACAAACGTGAGATAGCGAATAGTTGAAGTCATTCAATAATACATCTATCAAAAGAGTTAAAGACTTCAAATATCTCCCATAATAGATTCAAAAAAAAAAAAAAAGACTTCAATATCCGCAGATCTCTTGAATGGGGTGTGTTTAACAAACTTCACAAGATTTGGCGTTGGAACCGTCCACCGTCTTTAAAAGTCCAAACTTTTCGAACACTTATGGAACCAGTCCTACTATATGGATCATAAATTTGGATATTATCTGTGTCTTCTTGAGAGACGACTGGATGGAACATATAGAAATCTACTTAGAACAATTCAGAACATCGGTTGGAGATACCATGCAACGCTTAACACAATTCATGGAGAACTGAGACAAATCTCTCTTAAGTTCAAACAAAAACCTTCCATCCTCCGTAAAGGTCCAAACATTTCGACCATTGATTAAACTAGTCCTATTGTATGGATCAGAAATTTGGACATTATCTGTTCGTCTTGAAAGACGACTGGATGGAATATATACAAATCTACCTAGAAAAATTCAGAACATCGATTGGAGATACCATGCAACACTTAACACAATTTAAAGAGAACTGAGACCAATCCCTCTTAAGCTCAAACAAAATCGATTGCAGTTTGCCGGCCACTGCCACCGAGCGAAAAGGGGCGATCATCATATCCTTACTTCTATCGTTTCCGTCTGGAACTGTCTTCTCACGAAAATTGACTCTCACGGACACCATTGCTCGAGACTCTGGGTTGGACATTGGGAATCTGGGGACAGCAATGCAGGACCGAACAGCGTGGAAAGGGATTGTCAGTGGAGTTCCGACCAACCATAGGGAGGACTAAGGATCATTATGACGATGAGCACAATCCAATAGGGCGTACAGCCGGTGAAGAAACAATACCGTCTCCCTCATATAACGCCGCGTGTCGATTTATTATATTATGGGAGATGGCGCCGTAACCACGAAACGCCGCGGGTCGGGTCCGACGTAACCCGACGACCTTCTGTACTGGTACCGTATATAGACAGAAGTTGGCGATCCTGTCTTTTCATAACTGTAACCACGAAACGCCGTGGGTCTGGTCCGACGTAACCCGAGGACCTTTTGTACTGGTGCCGTATATAGACAGAAGTTGGCGATCATGTCTTTTCATAACTGTAAGCACGAAACACCGCGGGTCGGGTCCGACGTAACCCGAGGACCTTCTGAACTGGTGCCGTATATAGACAGAAGTTGGCGATCATGTCTTTTCATAACTTATGATCTCTTATATCTCTTAGCAACGTTTGTCCTTTTGTCAAGGCTGTCCATTTATACGGGGTTTTTAGGTAGGTGGCAAGGCTAATTTGCCTGTCCGTTTTTCCTTTGATATGACCTGTGCCAAATAGTCCAAGCCATCTTTCCTCATTATGGGCCTAATTTTAATTATAAAAGTAGCTTTTTGTTTCCATGTTTCTTAAGACTTTCTACGTTGCTTAAGCGCCGCGTCCATGGTATTCTCAGTATCCATTTTTTTTTTTGTTGCCTCAAGATTTCTCTTCATCTGAGAGGGTGGAGGATGAACCAAATTGTACTAAGCGCCGGTGAGTTTTCTTAAATATTTTCCGAAGGAATAGTAACTTGATGCTTTTTCTGTAACTTTAGCCAGAGTTATAAAAGGTAATTGTTGCCAGCCGTGTCGTCAAACGAAGGTGTCTGGTCATTTACGAAACAGATGTCCACTAAGAGACGTCTGTAACCGGCGGGGACATATGTGGACTGGGGGTGTGGTTGTGGTGGCGCGTAGAAAATATGAGAGTAACTTTTCCTTTTGTAAAAAGTATGTTACTGATATAAAATAACAAACCTAAAAGAATTTAGGCCACACCGGTTGCTGATGTGGGTAATCTGATCTTAGATCTGACGAGAACCGATATGAGGTAAATTATTACATTACCACGCACAAAATATATCCCAATAATCACACGAGATTATGGCCAAGTCACGTTGAAACAACGGTTCCCGTACGACTCCTGAAGTTGGCTCGGATTTTTTAATCGGCGAGCCGAGTTCCAATTCCAGTTGGGTTCATTATATTCACTTACGTGCAAATTCCCATGGTAAATGTGTGAATCCACCTCTTTTCTCCCATCTATGGGTTAATTAGTAAGACCCCTGTTATGAGATCTTAACCATAATAATAATAATGGACTATTCCATACTTAATAAATACTGCGCCTCAGGAGTAGGGAAGGAGTCAGTAGTTTAAGTCTGAACCGACTGTTCGGATGAACTCTCTTCCTACGGACGGGAGGAACCCGAAGGAGGCTACGCCGAAGGGCGGAGTCTCCTTCGAGGAGGTAAACCGGCCCTGAACCCGTTTATACGGGTTCATTGGGCATATTTTTGGCCGATCCCACGGGCTCGGAATGCCCACGTTAAAAAGGCCTTGTGCCACATGACACCCTCGTCGGGGGGGGGGGTGACTGAATATCGTCAGTAGTTCAAGTCGAGTCAAGAGTCGAGTCAGAGGCAGTCCGAAACAGAGTCGCGTTCAGACAATTACTACAAGACATTGGAATAGTGATACTGGTCGAGACTACATTGTTCTCTCTACTAAACCTGATTGTTCCTACTAACATTTTTACTTCTCTGTATATATTCCTGTCTGTAATATATCTTATTCCATACCTGTGTTCGAGTTCTTCTTCATTGGTTCTACTTTGGACTATCACCGTGGTACAAGGAACCGGACCATAACACAATAAAATTACGTACAAAATGTTTAGATATTGGCATTCAATAACATATTTTATTTTCATAACTTCCAATCTGATAGGCCGTGTGAAAATAAAGACAAAAATTGTCCAACATTTGGATATTTTTTTATTAAGTTGGTCCTTGATCTAAGCTTTTGATGGTGAATATCTTTGTTAAAATGTCTGTATATCGACTCTTAAGGTGGCCAATGTGAGCCGAAAGCTTAGATCCAGTACCAATTTAATAAAAAATATCCAAATGTTGGACAATTTTTGTCTTTATTTTCACCCGAAAATTAAAGCAAACATACGAACTTTAGAATGGCCCTGATCAGACATACATTATCTGTTATATTTAATGATATATGTTTAAATAATTATCTGCTGCTCCAATACACTATATATATATATATATATATATATATATATATATATATATATATATATATATATGGTAATATTAGCCGTTTCATACAAGGAGACATTTGGCATTCTTTGACCGAGCTGCTAGTACTGCTTTCGATTTAAATTTATTAAATCTTTCTAAATAGGTTTATCAAGTACAGTAGTTGTTCTCGTGATTTTCTGCATTAATAGATGTTTCCTTCCTAGCCTTTTGTTTGAAGTAGTGTGAAATTTCAACATCTTGATTATGTCATTATTTTCTCTTCAAGTCAGACGTGCTATCCATTTTAGTTGTTTCTGCTGTTGGCAGTCTTCGAGTGATGTGGTTACTGTTATTTGGCACAGTTCCTTCTTTGTGATTATGTAGCGCCAGTCCACAATGTTCAAAGAAGCATAGTCTTCACCAAGACTCACATGTTTCACTCGTTCAAAGCCATTTTTGAACCCTGATCTCAAAAAGCAGTTCTATACAATTGACAGTTTAGATATTTCTGTACGTGTTTGTTACCGTGTATGACATCCACGTGAATGTCTCGACTTGACGAGGCTATTTAAGAGCATGTCTCAGTTTTTTTAGGTTGATGTTTTAGTTTTGTAGCAATTTGCAGCGTTGGATGAAACTATCCCTAGCGCAGCCTATTCAATGTTCAGTTTCTTTATCTCTTATACTAAATTTGTTATAACTGATCCATACACCGTTTTAAATTTATTTAATCTTTCTAAATAGGTTTATCAAGTCCAGTAGATTTCTGGTATTAATAGAGGTTTCTTTCCTAACCTTTTATTTGAAGTAGTGTGGAATGTCAACATCTTGATTATGTAACTATTTTCTCTTCGAGTTACATGTGATAGCTGTTACTTTTTTTGACGGTACTCAAGCGATATGGTTTCTGTTATTTGGTACGATTCTTTGTGATTAGGTAGCGCCAGTCCACAATGTTCAAAGAAGTGTGGTTTTCGCTAAGACCCACAGGGCTCACTCGTTCAAAGCCATTTTTTAACCTTCAACTCAAAAAGCAGTTCTATATTGTTTGTTGGCGGTATTTTTACACATTTTTGATAGTCTAGATATTTCAGTACGTGCTTGTCGCCGTGCATGGCATCCATGTTTCGATCTGACGAGGCTATTTAAGAACATGTCTCGGTTGATGTTTGGGTTTTGTAGCAATTTGTGTCGTCGGATGAAACTATCCCTAGCGCAGCCTATTTAATGTTCAGTTTCTTTATCTCCTATACTATAGGTATTTGAAATTATTAATTTTTACTAATCCCGCATACTGAATTTTAATGGATTCTTCGTCATTGCTTTAACTCCGATTCAAGATAAGATTTTCTGTTTAGGAATGGTTCATTTTGAGTCCAACTTCTTAGAACATTTTGTAGATGTTTATTTTCTGTTTAAGGTCATTTTTATACCAACTATGTATACCTATATCATCAGCATAGTCCACCCTCACATTATCATTAATACATTGGCCTCAGGAGGGGAAGCAGCAAGTTCCCAAAATGCCCAGAGAACACCATGAAGAAGTTTCAACTATGTGAATTTAGATATTCAAATTCTAGGGCTTCAGCTACGTGCATTTAAACGTGCTACTGGATTGTAAATTAGGTCTTACTGTTTTACTGTTGAACTTGTTAGATGCAACCGTCACTTTTCTCGCACTTCTCGCCTGCGGAACTCCCTTCTGATTTCTTGCTTCCTTGCCGCTTACAATCTTCAAAAATTTAAACGCAAGTCAATCGCCATTTTCTGTCTTTCTGAAGCTTTTTTCATGATTGTCCTTTTCCTTATTTCTCTCCGCTAAATTTTTCTCATTCTCTTTCACTCCCTGTAAACCCTTGCGTCTTAGTAGCTTTATCGCCTTGCTTGGGGTTGAATTGATTTTAAAAAAATGTACAATCATTGTCTTTCTTTTACTGTTTTTATTCTTTTCTTTGTTTTTTCTCCAACCTTACTTTGTTTTTTTTTTTCCTTCTCACCTCCTTTCTACATTTTTTTTATTTTTGTGGGGGAGATATTATTTCAAATGCCTATCCCGCCTACACAAACACACAGTAAGATCCCCTGAATTTTTAAAGCAACCCACTCAATTATTTATTAATTTAAGAACTAGGGAATGAAAGGCCGCCCGAGAAATCTCCTTTGAGAAGGGAAAATTGTTTGAAATCTTCCCCAAAATTGACGACGTCCACTTTCGCGGGCTTTTAGCTAATGCTCGCCCGGCGGCGTTCCGCATTCTGACTTCCGCTTGGATGATGGTGTCACGTGGCACTAAGAAGGATTCGGCAGCAGTTCAAGTTTAAGATCAAGAAATGGAGGGTCCGTAGATTACCAAGACATCCGAAACGTCCGCACTCTTTCACTAAAAGCCAATGCTACTTTGATCTAACCAGAGACAAATATATATATATATATATATATATATATATATATAATGAGGGCTCTTAGCTGGAAACATCAGTGGTTGTGCAAAAGTTCTTTCTGTCGATGTTCAAATCCTGAAAAGAAACAAAAAATTTAGAATGGAAAAATTTCAAGTCGGGAGCCTGATGAGACTTTACCATTTCGAAACATATCATAGGTTGGTATTCACAGAAAAAAATAAAAACATAAGCTAAGAGTTTAGCAAGATTGTAAGATAACCAAAATGTCCTTGCCGTTTTTTTTACGTCGTGTGGAAAGAAGTTATCACTGATACGCAAATGAGTGCGTCACGTGCCGGGAAAGTAGTGGGGATGGGATGAGAGTATTGCTCTTGATTAATGCAAGTGTCTTGCACACACGCACATCAGTCAGAACACGAGCATCGACGAGGAAAGATGGAGGTGTCAAAGAAGTTGTTTCGGGGTTGTCTGCCTTAAGGCTTTAACGTTGGCTTGTCCGCAGCCTCATCAAGTCGCCGAATACGTCCAACGTTTGGCGATAGGACTGCGAATGAACACACCGCCAGGCATTTGTTCAAGAAGGTGCCAGCAGATTACCACCTCTTCCATTCCCTGGACAACCACCTTCAGGAGAATTCTTTCGCAAATGAGCAAATGATTAGTGGCAGATACTCATAGACTTCTTTGCGTCTAAGACATCCGATTTCTACCGCCGTGGCATTGCGCAGTTGGAGGTACTTTGGTAAAAAAATCTGGATGCCGATGGGGATTACATTGAAGACTAACCGTATGTCAAATTTTCTGTATCCCTTTCTTTTGTAATAAATCAGATACGACAGGGACTTTTTAATTACCTTGGAGATAAAGCATTATCAGCGAATATTACTTTTTAATTTCTATTTTTATTTATTCTTTTTATTAGTTGTTGGGTATCTCGTCGTGTTGTAATGGTTAACAAGCTTGTCTCGCTAGAACAGTTACAACTGTGTAGTGAGTTCGATCCTCACTGGGTGCCCCATACTGTCGGCCTTGTGCCATATCTAAGCTACGCTTAGAAAATCATTGAACATCTCGTCGTGTTGTAATGGTTAACAAGCTTGACTCGCTTGAACAATTACGACTGAGTAGTGAGTTCGATCCTCACTATGTGCCCCATACATTCGGCCACGTGC